TTGCTTTTCCAAAATTTGAGGTTTTGTATAGAAAAAAAAAAGACGTTTTACAACAAGGAAGGGGATCTTCTGAGCTCAACCTGAATGAAATTTAATTTCCGGGAAGGACTCAGCATGCGTGTACCATTTCATATCAACGAGGCATAAAATAAGAACCCCTCATTGTCCCTCTTTGGAATGAGATGGGTATAAATAGATGTGATTTGTGCATTCATCTGACTAAATGGGAGTCAGATGGGAGGTTATTGGGTTATGTTATTTGGATATAATTAGTTTAAAATAATGTCTTTTTTTGATAAATGGAGCCTATTAAAACTTATTCCTTCTAAGTGGTTAAATTAGGTGATTCATTTAAAGAAGATTCAAATATCCTGTCCACCTTTTGCCCGAAGCGAGTTGTTTTAAGAAGGTGTTTAAAAATGCAATGATATATGTAAAGAATGGATCCAGATCCTTTCCATCTAATAAATGTCCAAAACGTATTGTCTATTCATAATAAGGAAAAAATAGAATAAATAGTGTGAGGTAAAGAGGTAAGAAATAGGATAGAATGGCCCTAACCGGTTTGGCTCAGTGGATAGAGCGTCTGCCTGTGGACTGAAGGGTCCCAGGTTCGATTCCGGTCAAGGGCATGTACTTGGGTTGCGGGCACATACCCAGTAGCGGGTGTGCAGGAGGCAGCTGATCGATGTTTCTAACTCTCTGTCCCTCTCCCTTCCTCTCTGTGGAAAATCAATGAAATATGTTTAAAAAAATAGGATAGAATAAATAGTGTGAGGATAAAGAGGTAAGAAATAGGATAAAATAAATAGTGTGAGGTAAAGAGGTAAGAAATAGGAGAGAATAAACAGTGTGAGGATAAAGAGGCAAGCAAAGTCATTAAGACACTCACTTTCTGGCTAAATCACTTCCTCTCAGGTTTCTTAGAGAGTTGACTTTTATTTTCAAGGAAAGACCGAGAGAGAATGCTGAGGGCTGAGACATTTGAACAAGACGGCTGACTCCTGTTAGCATTTAGAAGAGCAGAACATCCCCTCTGTCTGCTTTCTATCCTTGCTCCCAAGATTCCCACCGCCCTGGGGCGCTCCCATGGCCTTCTGAGCTCGGGGACATGTGGCTGCTGAAGCAACCTGATCTGCTTTGATCTCTCCTGGTTGTCAGCAGCTTTCCTGGACGTGGCTGAGCCAAATGGCGATTTCTGTTCCAGGGCCTGTCTTGGGTAGAAAGCGTAGCACTTGCCACATGACTCCAGTCAACTCAGCACTTACAGAGCACCCAGTAATGAAGTTCCCCGAAGTGGGCGAGACATTCTTTCCTGTTCCCTCCTCCCCTCCCCTCCCCTTCAGTCCCCGACTTGAGATCAACCAAAGGACGTGTATGCATGCCTATAAGCCAAACCAATGGGCATGGACAACAGGGGGATGAGAGCATGAGTGGGGTGTGTGGGGGGGGAGAGGATGGGTGTTAATGGGGGGATGAGGACACATTTGTAATTCCTTAACTAATAAAGAATTTAAAGATAAAAAAAATGTTTAAAATGAATGGACTCTATCTTCACATTGAAGTAATGTCGGTGTAGAGGTCTGAGCTATATAGGAAAAACAAGAATTTAAACTTGTTCGTCTTGATTTATATGTGTTGACGCCAATTATATTTACAATGGCAAATTTCTGATATTTTTTTGTTTGAGGAAAGAAAGCATGACGTTATAAATTCAGTTCAAAGGCGATCAGTAGCTTCTTTTAAAATCACTTTCTGTTAGGATTTTGAAATGAATGTCAGTTCAACATGGGAACATCAGCCAACATTGAAAAACATAGGACAGAAAAATATATTTATCTGTAATCCTACAGTGAATGATAAATAACCTTAGTATTTTGGTATATTTTTATCTGGGGTCTAACCCTCCATGTCTCCTGACTTCTCTTTCAAATTTTACCCCCCTCCCTACCCCTTTTGCTATGATCATCATGCATTCCTCAACATTGCCTTTCAATTCATTAATTCTCTCTTTGACGCTATCCAATCTGGTATTTATTTTGCCAGTGCAACTATTTTAAAATCACGATAATTATTTTTTGTTTCCAAGATTTCTAGTATGGTGGTGTTTTGTTTTTTTACCATATCTATTTTTACCATTAAATTAATTTT